AAATTAAAGAGGCAACAACTTGATTTCAATGTGAAAAATACCTTTCCTCTAAAATAGGCTTTCAGAAATCTGTCACTATATATTCAGAAACTGTACCTGTCAGTCAAGCATGTCAAATGGGCTGTAATTCCATAGCCTGAGAGGCACGGCAGGAGGATCACGAGTTCTAGGACTGATTGGACTAGAAAGGCAAACCCTGTCAAAAAAAATAGGAAGGGAGGGAAGGATGGAGGGAGGGAGGATAAAATGAAAAGTTATAGCTAAGTGCTAGAGAAGTTACCCAGCATGTTCAAGGCCTTGGGCTCAATCCCCAGCAACACACACACACACACACGCACACACACACACACACACACACACACACACACACACTCTACTTAAATCCATGAAAACCTTGTTTGAACTGTGGATGTAGCTCAGGGGCTGAGCACCTCCCTAACATGTGCAAGTCTGAGTCCCAACCCTTATACCTAAAAATAAAATACAATGAGAAGAAAATTGCAAAATCAAGATACTAAGAGTTAAGAGCTTTCCTAACAATTACATGACAGATAATGCCTATGCCAATTAAACTGATGGAGTAGCTTAGGGACCAGTGGGTGGACTCAGTTGATAAAAGCACCTGCCATTAATTCTGACAATCTGAGTTCCATCTCTGGGTTTCCATGAGGCTGACAGACCTTCACATATATGCACATTTGGTCACCTTTACATGACACAGACGCACAGGCACACACATACACACAAACACACACACACACTCACACACACACACACAGCTGAGAGAGAAAAAATGAGAATGAATAAATAAGGAAGCACATTAAAGTACTATTTTAGGAGTCTCTTGCTTATATGTATTTTTCAATTTTGAATTCCCAGATTGCTGCATGAGTGCAGGTCTAGTCCAAGTGTTGCAATTCTTTGTTCCAACCATTGTGTCCCAGTGCTTTTAGCAGAGTTAGACCTTAACAAAGTTTATTGAGCATATGAATATTTAGCTTACATGTGTATAAATACATAGCAGAAACCATAAATAGCAGAAACCAAAGCCTGTTTCTGCAATGCAGTGTGAAGGTAGGCATTTGTACCAATTCAGAATTATTTTTAACTTTATTTAAATACGCAATTGTTGATCCAAAAAATTATGACTTTCCTTCAAATACTATATTAATTATCACAATTTCTTATGTACTGTCTCATCTGTCTAAAGAAGCTATATAAAGACATCCAAGTGTGTGTGTGTGTGTGTATGTGTGTGGATCCTCAGCTGCACTTCATCTCACCTTCTAGAAAACACCATTTTCATGGCCACTCCTTCTCCTTTCCTAGCCATTTTCTTTTTAAGATCATCCATATGTTCAGCCCCAGTGACCATAGTGGAGCTGGCTGCTCATTTCACTCCTGCCATCACTGCGATCCACTGATCACCATGGCTAATCAGATGGTACACCAGCCTGCACCAATCATTAAGATGACCCAAATTAACAGCCCAGCCATGTCACAGTACATTCATTCCACATATACAGACATGGCCTAAGTATAAGGCAGAAACCTGCAAGTGCTTATCTGTGTTTCCATTGTAGCTGACTTTATTGATTATCACGATCTGCTTGGGCACTTAAAAATCTCCAAATGGGAATGATTTGTGAATTATTCCAAAGACAGTGTATGTGCCTTTTCCTCCTAGCAATTCTCTTCGTTTGCCTTTTTCTTCCAGTTGGGTTGTAAAACATCACAGAGTAACACATGCCCAGCTCTCCGTTTAGAAGGAACTTTAAATTATATATTTTTCCTAGCCAGGTAAACAAGATAGCTCAGGCTCAAAATTGCGAGTTCATCATCAAAAGTTTGCGACCTATTTGTCTTGAAGATGGTAGTCAGTAAAACTCAGTTGTTAGCATTTATACGAGCAGCCCCTATCTTAACCACAGATATGACTATTGGCACCTTGAACTGCCTGGTGTAAATTTATCCCCCAAATATTTGCATTCTCGATAGTCATTTTTCTACTATACAGTCTAATAATTAGAGGGTCCCATTACCTGCTAAATGTTTGCATAAATTACCAACCCATTATGCACAGTAAGTTTTAAAAAACATTTACAGATAGATATCATGCTTAATTAAAATTAACTTTCCACATGTAAGCCACGTGTGCACTAATGATTCACAGTGACCTTTTATTACCTATAGTCCCTTGTTTTGGATGGATGATTGACAGCTTGCTGTTTGGCTACCATGTTGAATTTTAGCTGACAAGACTTTTCATTTTAACTCAATTTGCCCGCCTATCACAAGCTGGTGGCAGGCCAGACCCCAGTCACCCAGCTTTGCCTCAGCAGCTTGCTCTAGTTCTCATTAGTACGCATTTATTCAGTGGGAATTGGAAGACAAATGCTTGAAGGCATGTGAACTAAGTATAGCAAATTAGGTTTAAAGACTGAATATTTATAAGTATATGGAAAGTTTTTTTTTTTTTTAATTCTAGAGCAAATTGAGAACTAAGTGCTAGCTTTAGTATAAAAGAAATGAAGATAGAAGGGGGAAATTCTAAGAATAAAAATACTATAAGCTTTTTCTTTCCATTTTGGAAATATGTAAAATCTCTCTGACAACACCTTATCAAATAAAATCCTGGCTTCTCTTTCATGGAATGCTTGCACAATGAAGTTTAGCATCTCATGTGTGAGAAGGGAGAAAAAAAAATGAGGGTCATGTTCATTTGTTGCTTGGTTATCCCTTGGTATGCTTTAAACTGCCTTGTTTGTTCGACACTAGCACAGAAACAGATGTTGCTCTACCGCGTAGGATAATTTACTGTACCTCCTGGTGTAGCATGGAAGTCCTTCCAGGGCCCAGCTGGTCTGTCAATGGCACTGGCTGGTGTCTGCTCAACTATGACAACTACAAGGAGAAGCCACAGTTTCTTTCATTGTGCTATTATCCTTCTCCTCAACATATAGCTCTGCTCATGTTCATTCTGGGGCTGGTGGAAATGCTGCTGGCTTTTGTGTCTCGATGCTGTGATGCTGTACTGCAGATCCCATAAGCTCCCCTCTCCATTGGCGATAGATAATAACACAACTCATTACTTTTGTCGCCTAATGATTATCGGCATGATTGCTCAAAGCAACAGCCAGCCTCGTCTTGCACACATAACTGGTACTGGAAGGTAAAACAGATCTGTCACTTACGATCTGACTGCTGAGCCACACTTTCAGCTCCATTATTGTGATTAACTTCTGCATAAGATATGCTTGCCCAATTGTCATTTGTGATACTGCAGTGGGCACAAGCTGCCATGCTTCCCAAGAGCATACCAGCCAATTGGATATGTCCATGTTATTCAGACTGTTAAATGCTTACCGTCACAGCAGCCTCCCCGAGTATTATTTTGCTTTTGTATTTCTTCTTCCCACACCCTACTGGGCTTGCTGTGGGAACAGAAGTGTTACATATGTCAGCTACTATTTCATACCACATGTAAAAATAATGCTATGCTATTGTTGCTCCAACAGGACCAGCAGCAGGACATGGGAAATGGATCCTTGATTTTCACCATAGAAATGTTGGTTGTTGGTTTCTGACCAGCCGAATCTGTCCTGGCAGGTGCCTTTTGGCGATCTGCAGTAGAGTCCATGTTCCAAAACCAAGGTTCTCTTCTAGCCTCATCCCCAGCAAACCGATTTGACTCTGCCTGATTAGAATAACGAAGGCAGTCTAAGAGAATATGCACAGCCTCACTATACGTCACATTGAATAACCACACTGCCCACACAGAGCTGACCGCAGCCTCATTTCTTTAGACAAATGCACGCTTAAGGAAAAACCTCCTGGGAGAAGGCATCCAAAGCTACTTCATGTCCCGGTGCAAGTTGCTCATGGGTTTACATTTTACCATAGTAATGTTTATTTCTGTGTTTTTCTTTCTGTATACAAGCCGCCACTAATGGGTCTGCCTTTAATAATCTTGTAACTGAGGACTGGCTATGCCAGAATTTTGTTCAGCACCAAGAAACTAGGCTCTGAACACATGTATGTGTGTGAGGTTTCTAAATTGCAAGTCATAAACACAATCATTTATTACCATGTGAAAGGGGGAAGCTCCATTTGGAGCTCTTTCACATTGCTGATTAGAAAGAATCAACCTTTATATTCCAGGATCCATTCACACTGGTGGAAACATAGTCAGTTTTGATTATGAAGGGAGAGATGCAGCCCTAGACAGGAGCTACACACTGATATGCATGCTATCAGAATGATTTATGCAAATTATGCATATTATTCCCAAAGGAATTCCTCCTCAAACTGCCAGGATAAATCGCCGGAAATTAGCCATAAAATCTGCCATGCTAGGAGCAAAAGGTGAAGGCCACAGGGATAGCAAGGACATTCGGCTTCTGGAATCTTCCAGCATATGATGATGGTGAATGTTATGGTCACTGGATAGTGAGGGGGAAAATGTGGTTTTCCTTCCAATCCTATAAAAATTTGTTTCTCTGAAAAATTTCCAGCAAATGCTGACTCATTTTATTTACAGCTAGTGGAAGAGAAATTAAGTGTTAAGCTGTCTCCAAATGCATCTACCACAATTACTTTACCATTAACTGCCTAAGTGCTGATGAGTGGCTTTAAAGGAATCGCTCCTCTAAAGACTGGTGTAGTAACCCTCCAGCAGTGTGCTATGAGAGGGGTATATATTTATGTTACTATGTTTGTGTCCCTAACCTTTCAGTCCTTTCCTGGAGACCGTTCCTTTTTTGCTTACTCCATAGACAGCACAGCTACCCCCTGCCTGTAAATTACCAAACAATGTTGGGGCAAAGCCACTCTGTTCTTTATGCTCAGCACCCACAGCCTCATTGACTCTCTTAGGCATCAATTGATGTGACAAAACTACTTTCCTACTAGGCAAGGTTGTTGGTAATGATTCCTAACAGCCAACAGAGAGAGCTTCTCACAGTACTCAGGCTACAAGAGCTATTGTTTGTTTCCTTCAGAAAGCACCATCCTTGAGGCCCTGCGGCTGTGCTCCTATTCCTCTGTCATCCGTTCAGTTGAAGAGGATATGACTTTGAACATGGAGACTAGCAGCTACCAGCTTCGGAAGGGGGATTTAGTAGCTCTCTTCCCTCCCATCCTGCACATGGACCCGGAAATCTTTGAAGCTCCAGAGGTAAATATGCTACTTGTCAGTTATCACTTCTGCCCAGTAGCAAGCTCAGTCCTTCCCGTCCTTCTGCGTACTCTCACTGAGATCTGAGGCAGCTTGGCAATAACTTCTGTATTTATTGCCCTCTAATAGGAAGAGTTTTGCCTTTACAGAAGTTTTTCTTGTTGTTGTTGTTTTTGTTTTTTCCCTAAGAATATGCCTTTGACAGGTTGTGTGATCTGGAACAAAGCTTCACCGAAGTCTAAATGCTGCTTAATTCAAATGAAATGGAACTTTTACCTTGGTCACCATTACTTTCAGCAACCGAGTGAGAGTCTCTTTGACAAGAAACTACTGAGACCCAAGAGAGCTAACTCTTGATATGTGGTATAAAAATTAAATAACAATAACTAGTTTGCTAAGCACTTCCAAAGTAAAGCTGACTTCTATCTCCAAATACCATCATTACCTCAGTTAGGACCAAATAATAGTTAATCCCTTTTAGCTAAAAGTATGTGCCCCTGTTTGATCAATTAGCATGGCACTATGAACCTCCAATTGTAAAGCTGCCACTCTCGGGTGAAGCTCTGAGGGTAATTGTGTCATCTCCTTGTATTTTTTTTTCCTGAAGCTGGAGTTAATGAATATCAAAGACTGGAAATTAATCCACCCTGGTTCATCCCTTAATACCACTTCAGAGAGTCACCCGCTGAATGCAAATTGAGCACAGTTATAGTCTGCTTGTGCTTTGCATGAAGTGATGCTACTGACTTTTGATATTTACCATCCACTTTTGAAAAAGGAAATTTCTGTCCTCCTTTCAAACACTTCATAGATGGACCACTTTTAAATACAGGTTCTATGATAGATACTCTGCAGCCAACCTAAATTATAACATTATTGAATTTAGGAAATTAATAAAAGGACAGACTTCAAAAAACAATGACATAGTTTGTACTTTTTCTTTTAACTAGCAAAGCCTGTGTCTTATTACTGGAGAAAGTACACATGATTTTTTTTTAAGTAAGGTGTTGTGCGGACAATGACAGCAAAGAGGATGTAGCCTTTCAGCCAATGAACAAGCATTCTTTATAGATCAAGCTGCATTTCTGTATTTATGAATAATTCCAGTTGGTAGTGTATATTCAATAAATAACACAGCTGGAATTAGTATCTGAAAAATGCTTGTGAAAGTTAAAATAGCAACACTTCCCATTACTATTTCTCCCTTCTGCTTACGGCTTTCTTTGTGGTCATCAGGGGTTAGGAACAGACTTTATTGTTCATGTCATCATAGTTAAATCAGAATTATTGTTGTCATCAAATATGAAACATTCGCCATCTTTATGGGCATCATTCTTTGTGATTTGGCTATGTCTCATTCTTATAAAAATCTTTTAAAAATCTGGTTGATAACTTTAAGAAACCAAAAGCCAAAATTATACATCATAAATGTTAGGATCAGTCATGATGGTACAAAGGCTGTCAGATCACTGTATGCTGCAAGCCAGCCTGGACCACACAGTGTATTCCAAGTCAACTAGGGCTACATAGTGAGGCTCTCTCTCTCTCTCTCTCTCTCTCTCTGTCTCTCTCTCTCTCAGACATACACACACACACACACACACACACATGTTTACACATGCAAGGAAGGAAGAATTATTAACTGTTGATTAAGGAGTAGTGGTACACATCCAAACTTGGAATCTGGAAGCTTGACATAGCAAGTTAGCAAGTTCAACCCAAGCCTTGACTTACAGCAAAACTGAGAGAGGAAGGTGGAGATAGGCAAGGGGAAGGTGGAAAAGGAAGAGTTTTCATTTTTATATATGTTGCCCTGTGGAATGCAGATATTACCCAATGACACTGATAGTAAACAAAAGGCTTTCCTCATATTAAATCACCAGGAGAATAAAAATTTAATTTTGTGATCAGTAATTTAAAATCATTAGGATGTGCCATCCTAGAGCCTTCACCCAGTATGTGATGGAAGCAGAAGTAGAGATTCACAGCCAAGCACTGAGCTCATCTCCTGGAATCCAGTTGTAGAAAGGGAGGAGTGATAATATGCACAAAGGGGTCAAGACCATGCTGGGGAAACCCACAGAAACAGCTGACCTGAACAAGAGGGAGCTCAAGGACCCCAGAATGGTAGCTGGGGAACCTACCCAGACCCCTTGAACATGGGTGTCATTTGGGAGGCCTGGGAATTCAATGGGGCCTCTGGCAGTGGAAGTGGTATGTATCCCTTGTGCAAGGACTTAGGGAGCCCATTCCCTGTGAAAGGACACTCTCTTAGCCCAGATATCTGAAGGAGGGCCTCGGTCCTGCCCCAAATGTTGTGACAGACTTTGATGATTCCCCATGGAAGGCCTCACCCTCCCTGTGGAGTGAATGAGGGGTGAGATGGGGGATTGGTGGGGAGCATGGGAGGATGGGAAGAAGAGGGGACTAGAATTAGCATAGTTTTTTAGTTAAATAAAAGTTTATCTTAAAAAATCATTAGTATAGCTTTAAGGAAACTTAGTGAATAAATTATTTAGTAGGTTTTAGCATTGCTCAGTTATACCTGATTTGTGTTAGAAATAAACAATTTTTGCTACAGTATTGTTTTCTTGAAATTAGTTGTGCAATGATGATCATTCTCCATAAAAAACAAAAAATATGATTTGGAACCATTTTTATCTAATTTTGCCAGCTATTATTACTTATACTATAAATATCCACTGAGCACTTACCACTGTCAGGTGACATAAAACACACACACACACACACACACACACACACACACACACACACACACAATAGAAACTCAGGTTTCAGATGCCATGCCAAACCACAATCTACTAGCAGGAATGAAAAGTCTAAAAATCATACGGGCCATTAGTCACTGCAGTCATTGGCCCTGAGTCCACAAGAGAACCCTACTCCTCACTATAGACTTTATATCTTCCAAACTTTGATTGGGAAGACTAGGAATTACAAGTATAAGAGATGCAATAACTGAGCCAAGAACTCCAAATGCCAGTTTACTAGGTCTCATAAGACATAAAATCCTGGGATCCTTAGCCCAACATGGGTTTTTAGCACACTGAAGTGTGGTTTTAGAATGTCTGAACATCACTTCCCGAAAAGCCCTTCATTATTTATCTCTCTGTTCTGGGAAACCCCCTTCTTACTTGCCTACCCAGAAAATTCCAAATTCCTGCACAGTAATCACCTTTGTCATCTCCTCTTTAAAAATGGGCAATTTTCACCAAACTTGTGAGACTGTGTCATTGTTCATTTGTCACCTGTGTGTGCTTTTGCGATAATACATGCCCACAGGGTATTACTACCTTGCAAATTTCTAGTACTTTGCAACTACTTACTCAAGTGCATCCCTACCAATAGGAGACTATCCAGGTAATGTAACTGAGGAGATATAAAAATGAATGAGTGCAATGAAAATATACATCAGTTAAGACAGAGAGTTACACGCTGAAATATATACTGGATGCAAATAGATTAAATTAACAAGTAACTTGAGCTTAAATACAGTTGTACTATTAAGAACAGTAAGAACAACGGTGAAAGGACCCCTAATGGGGCTGGAGAGATGGTTCAGTCATTCAGTACACTTGCTGAGCTTGCAGAGGACCCAGGCACAATGCCCAGCTCCTAAATGGAGGCTCACAACAATCTGTAACTCAAGTACTGGTGACTCACCTCTGATCTTGTCAGGTACTACAAACACATGTGGCATACAAAAAAATAAAATAATCTCTTTTAAAATAAATTTTAGAAGACCCCCTAGAAGGCATCTAAACGGCATAGCTGGGCAATTCTTGACCGTCAGCCTTTGCAAACATTAAGAATAGTTTGGGATAGGATTTTAAAGAACCTGAAAACTTGACTTTGAGATGAAACTGAATTTTCAAATAACCAGAATAGTAAAAGTTACAAGCCACATGGGATAAACGAAATGTGTTCTGAAATCTAATCTGGCCTATGAGCCACCACCATGTAGCTAGTGAATTAAAGATTATTCTTTCCCTCAATATGGGTTGCCTATCTTGTGATATCTCACATTTGGATGGTTGTTGCCAGTGTATGAAAATGTACAGGCAAATGAAACACATAAAATGACAGTGAAACAAAGGAAACAGCCCTCCTTCACTCACTCTTGCTTTAGAGGTAAGCCATTCTATTCAGCAAAGTCCAGATAAGCTGCTAATTGCCCAGTTAATTGCTTGTTAAAGTTTTTCTAAGATCTTCCCTAAATTCTCCACTGTTATAGGCCATCAAGTAATGGGAAGGAAATGGTGATGGTTGACTTCTAACAGAAACCCCAGTTATGGAGCTATGTAGAGTGAAGGAATGACACAGGTCCGTTTTTTTGGTCAAAAAGTAGGTAAGAATAGAGAAACACATTTACGGTATTAGGCTGTTAGGAACATGCGGCACAGTTAAAGACGTCAGCTAGTCACTATCTCCATGCAGCTCCTGAGGTATAGACACAGTAAAGTGATGTTAGAAGCACAGCACCTTCAGAATACTCCAGAAAAGATCTGCTATTAGGAGACCTCGTTTAACCTCATGCAGCATGTCCCCATCTTCAGAAAGTTGAGGGTGTAACAAAATGCAAAAGAGTTTGAAAGTCCTTCAAAGAAAATAATCTCAACCACTGTGGGGACTTCAAAGTCAGGATTATTTTAATTATCATCACTGTCCTTTGAATAGACTGTTATCATAGATGAATAGGTACTATAATAAATGGTTATTTATCTCCAACAAGAATAGACCATGCCTTCAGTAGAGTTCAAGGAAGCTAACGCAAAAATGGCCTTCCCTTTTCTCAGAAGCCATTTGATAACATAATGGTGACACAAAAATAAAAAGCTCCCTTGTCTTTATTGTTTGCAATAAAGGCCTTATCACATGGCTTTCCCTCCCTCGTAGCCAGATGCTTTATATTAAGGGAGTTTCTGCCATGTCAGCACATTGGCATTTAATATCTACCATACTAAAACCCACAGTGTCCTTGTGAAACAGTTTTGAAAGCCCTGTTGATTGTCTATGGTGTAAGCACTACTATATTGGGGAGGTAAGATGTTACCAACTTGAAGACTCTGATATAGAGCCTGGGAAAGTTGGGCACACCCTCTCACAAGCTGGTACTAGCTGGCAACAACTCATGACTGATTTGAACCCAGATCACGGAGTTAATACAAAGTCTTCTATGCAATGTCATCCTGTCTCCTGGAAGCCTGGAATCCAGGGGCAGCACTGGAGCCCCCTTAGCTTTCCCAAACACTGAAACGTTTTTAATTGTTTGTTTTGACTCTAGGAGCTTGTATCTTTTTGTCTAATTTAGAATTTCTACCTCAAGTCATGAAGTGAGTGGACTAAAGACATAAACGTATCAAGTGTTCCCATCATCCCGGCTGTACGTTATGCCTTTGTATTATCAATGATGCTTCTACAGGAGACCGTTGCTTTAAAAAGCCCATTGAACTGAACTAAACATAGTATTGGGAATACACAAATGAGGTTGTTAAGACATTCTCTAATGTCCTGTATATTAAAAGTCCTCCTCTATCCTCAAAAGTGTATCCCCTATCCAGACTGGGCTTCACGTCCTTCAGAGTTGTGCCATTTCAGCTATTTGTACACTCTGAATTTGCAGACACTTCCCATTCTCTGTATGTTCACCTTCACATTCTGTTATCAATGTTTTCTTCAAGAACATGAGTATTGCTTTAAAAATAAGCATTGCTGTCATTTGTTCATTAGTCCAACACGCATATGTGGAACCCTGCCATGGAAGAGTCACTTTGTTTGGATGCTGTGAAAATGCAGAGGTAGACTAAGGAGATGCCAGGAGATTCCTTCATTCTGCCATCTGCTGTGAGCTGGTTCTAGTTGTGGTTAGACTTCATCGTCTTTGCATGATGAAGTCCAGAGTAAGACTGATCACAAACTGTTGGTTTCTGTGCTTCTTCCTTTCCAAGAAAAAGACTTCTTGAGGGCACCACAGACTTTTTTCCTTCTGTGCCCTTGGCCAGATTGCTTCAAATCCCCTGGCCCCAAGTCAGTCAGAGGTTATTGCACAATTCAGTGAATATGCCCACATCCAGGACATTATAGTAGAACATCTAGTGGGCAGTAGGCAGATCCTGTTCCTAACACCCTAAGGTCACTCAGAGGCTTTAATGCTTGTGATGGATACTGAGTTTGAGTGGAATTTGCTACATTACCTTTGCTTTACATTACCCAAATGGATCAGGTAAGATTATTATATGCTTCCCCATAGTGGTTAAAACTGAACTAACTCTCTAAGGGAGATCATGGCCTTCCTGATATGGATCTGTCTGCATTCTCCATGAATAGGCAGTGAAACAAACAAAGTAAATTAATATTCAAAATTGTATATTTATGTTCTCATCACGACATTCACAGAGCAAATGCTACTACTGATAGTTTCCTCTTTAGTCTTACTAAATAAGCCATAAAACAGAAATTTCTGTGATATCAGTTCTGGGGAAATTAAGAAAGGATGACAGAAAATTGGAGGAGTAAATTTAATGATAAGCTATAAGTCTGAGGGAGCTGCTCTAGCCTCCCACAGGGCATCCATTGAGGTCATGGAGAAGAATCTGGGCAGTCTTTGGAGCTTGTGGCTTAATTTTACATTATCTGAATACTGGATACTGGATAAGTTTTCTTTTTTGTTTTTTTCTGGCACAAACGCCAGAACTATAGTGAATTTTTTTTCTAGGATTATATTTTATGTCAAAATTTACTTAAGCTGTTTGGTCTTAGCAGGAAGCTGTAGGAAAGAGTACTAATCTCCTTAAATGAGCCATCAGAAAAAGAATACAGCGGTGGTAAGTTCAGGAAGGCAAGCATAAGCCCCCAAGATGGGAGAAGTTCACCAGGGGAGGGTTTCATGTAACGCCTCCCTCTCTCTAGAAACACTGAGTCCACAGAGAATACCAGTGTGTTTACTGTAGAGCTGAACATATATTTTCCATTCTACATTGGTTAGATCTCTTTGGATATATTCCATAATAGTGGTGAAATATATTTCTATTCTATATCTTTAAAGTATCCTTGTTAGGAAATAAAACAACTTATAAAATCCTAAATAATTTTGTCAACATCATTGTACTGATTTTGCAAGTTGGGATAGAGTAGAAACAGCATAAAACTTTTCAAAGTTCAAATATTTAACATTAAGTATTATGAATTAACTAAGGTAAACCCAATGCTGATAAAGGAAATGTTTAACCTGGCATTACCAAATTTGTCATTAAAATAGTTGGAACATTTGTATTGCATTCATACTTTACTGACATTATAGAGTTTCTGCATAACCTGAAATGTGTTGGCTCTGACTTACTCTAAGTTGACTTTGTGTAGTTTACATCAAAGCCATGGTAGAGCAGATCTAATGAGCTTCAACTATTAAAAATACTTGTTCATCTTCACTCAAACCATGAGCATTAATCTAACTGATGGCTTAATTCACAATGAACTAAGGTCACTCAGTACCCTTCAACAAACTGAAATGAGAGTTGAGCCAGGACGTTTTGGCAGCATGCAAAACTAAGGCTGCAAATCAGCTATCCTAAATAAACCAGCTCTCTTATTTAGCAAGTAGCCTAGCTTATTTCAGAAAACATGTCAGAAATGCCTATCAGAAATGCCTATTACTTGGAGTTGGTCCAAGCAGATAGCACTCTAATAGAAATGTCATAGGGGAAATTCACATTAACATAGAAACACACACACCAAAATCTGTTGTGCAGTTTAGGTTCTATCTAGAGATTTGTTTGAATCTTATTATTTTCTGTCTCTTTAATGCATACATAAGGACTGAATCCAAAATTCATGATACTCACCCATCAATAGATAGTTGGGAGGATAAATAAATAGCAAACTGTGACTGCTAAGAAGTATTACTTCATAGGAATAAAGGCAGTATATAGGAGACCCCTTCTACCCATAATTGATATATCAATGGTCTCTATATAAAGAATTATCATAGAAGACAAAAATAGAGATAGGTGGAACTTTTGTGCTTTAAAAAAAAGTCTCATTGGAATCACCTTGATTTGAGAATTGAGTATTCCCTCCAAAACTCTTCCTGAAATCTGAATGCCCTGTTGATGGTTAATTTGCTAGGAATGGCCTTTGCTATGTTAGTTATCACTCTTTTGACACCATACTGGCTACCAGAAAATGGATTATTATAACAACAGACTGCACCTCTGATTTTTACTCTTCCAAATGCACTAACTCACTGTCATTTTCCATTGTGAGGAACTGCTCAAGGACCCATTAACACCAGGCTCTTAGACTTTTGGGACTGTAGAATCATGAGCCAAAATAAACTTCTGTTCCTTATCAATTATCCCGCCTCTGGTAGTTAGTGACAACATAGAATACCAAGTAAGAAATGACAAGGGAAATGTGAACAGAGAAGTGGTTTAGGTATTTGCATAAAGGTATTCCCTGTAATATCTTAATTTTTTTGAAAGACTGAGCATGGCTTTCATGTATTCAAGTTTTACTTCATCCTGAATGCTTTCAGAGAAAAAGCAACTTTGTACAACAATACAGACAAGGAGAGATGGCAACCTAGTGGACCTAACAAAACAGTTTATGTAAAATTTTAATATTAATAATGTCTGTTATTCTTTATAGGAATTTAGGTTTGATCGGTTCATAGAAGATGGCAAGAAGAAAACCACCTTTCTCAAAGGCGGGAAAAGGCTGAAGTATTTCCCCGTCATGCCATTTGGAGTTGGAGCCAGCAAATGTCCAGGACGATATCTTGCAGTGAACGAACTAAAGATACTGATAGCTGTAATTTTAATTTATTTTGATGTAGAAATAATTGACAAGAAGAATGTAGAACTAAACTACAACCGTCTGTTGCTTGGTATTCAGCACCCCAATTCTGATATCTCATTTAGGTACAAGGCAAAATCTTGGAGAAGCTGAAAGGTTGGCAAAGCAGTTTATCAGAATGAAACTACATGTGCTGAGCTCTGTGGTTTGCTGTACTCCTGCAAATGCTACTACTATGCTTGTTTGTTTGAAAATGGCAAATTTACATTTGATACGAGATAAATTCAGTTTGTTCTTGGTCACAAAACATATCATAAAATAAAGCATGGTGGCGGCATTAAAAAAAATGCCATGCGAATCATTTCAGGATAAGTTCAAAATAACAATTACAACTTTGTACTTACTGTGCTTTTTATCATTTCTCCTGAATGTGCTTCTCCAGTGATAAATTTGACCCTGGGTAATTTTTTTTTAGTTATGGAAATCCTCTAATATGATTTTATGTACTGCTGAAAAAGTGTGCCATTGGACAGTCTAACAATTTTTAAGTTCTCAGGGGAGAAGGAAATTAATTCCCATGAGTTCACTGTATGAAAATGTTCCCTTCAAGTAGAATCTCAATAGTGTCTGTATCACCAGGTATCTTTCCATTAAAAGAGTTTTGCAATAGATTAAATATTCCAAGTTTCCTTCAATATTTAATTATCCATAAATGTTCTTTATAACTTTGTGTTCTACAGTTCAATAGAACAAAATTTCTTGTTATATAAGACCTCTTGTGTTCAAGTAAGACACTGTTAAAATTTAATATATAAGAAAGTACAAAGCCTTTATATATTCAGCAATTGCTCTAGACATTAGTATTGGAAGTCATTATAGCATTGATGATAGTAATGGTGTTTAGTTTAGACTGTGTTATTCTCACACTGCAGTGTATCCTTTACTAAATGTTTCCATTTATAGAAACTGAGAAATTAGGTGACATTATTTATCCACAACCTTTTGGACTTGGAGGTTAGTTGTATCATTTAGCACTATCACACTAAACTATACAAGATAATTTCATATCACACAATACAGCCTATATCAACGATGAAAAGATTTTTATTATCAGGTTTTCCAGTGATTGACATTTGGCATAAATGGAGATACAAAATGCAAACTCACAGGGCAAATAATTAAACCAGATTAATTCATGCTGCATTAATTAGAAATTCTAATGCTTTGGAAATTTTCTATTGTTGTTAGAAAGAAAATTGACTTTAAAAATCACCCTAAAATACTTATCATACTAGGGAAATACAACACGGTAGCATTTCCCCACTTCCTCGTGCTGAAGCTGATTGAATCTTGCTCGCATGAAGGCAAATGGGCATGAATTCTGTCTTGGCTTGATTGAGGCAGGCTTTATTCTCAATTTACATCTTTTTAAAATGTAAAATGACCATTCGTAATTATATAAATTCACAAAATACAAAGTGAGATTATGGCTTATGAAAATGATGTGGAATGATTAGGTCAACCCAAATGACTAAATCAACCCCAATACTTAACATTCGTTGTAAGAACATTTTGAGATATATTCTCTTAGCAACTTTTAGCATACAGTGTTCTATTGTTAACTATATTCACAAGGCAATGTACTAAAACCCTTTCTCCACACCCCCAGAAAGGCTGTATTCCTCCTGGCTGATACGTTGTTTTGTTTATTTGGGTTTTTTGTTTTGTTTTGGTTTTACTTTTCTTCTACACTTCCCCTGCACTTTTTCACTGTGCTCCTTGATAAGTTTGATTATTTTAAATTTCATATATTTTACTTTTTTTCTTGCTGTGAAGAGAACGTTGGGATCAACAGTAACTTGGGGAGCAAAGAATTGATAGGGGATCACACATCCAAATCGCAATCCATTTTGGGGGGACATCAAGGCCAGAACTCAAGGCAGGAACCACAGACAAAAAATGAATACTGGCTTGCTCACTGGCTCATTCTTACCTAGCTTTCTTATTAGCTGAGGTCCTCCAGCCCAGGAAATAGTACTGCCTACAACACCTGGATCCTGCCACATTAATCATTAAAGCAAACAAACCATGGGCATATGATGAAAGCAATTCTTCAAGCGAGGTTCCATTTTCCTAGATAATCTAGAGTGAACTAGACTCCATGGTATTAGTCTGTCTCTGCTTGGTTTTACTTGGTGTTCTCTAACTCTTTCTATGACAGAATTTATTTTTCACAGCCAAGCAATAGTCCATCATGTAGATATACCACATTGCCTTTATTTAAAGGCTATGTCTAACCACCCCTATCTCCTCCATATAATTCCATGACTTCCCTCATTGTCCTGAGAACAAAGGGCATGTGATGTCCCATCCTCAGGCTGGTCTGACCCTCTTCCTTCTGAGAGTCTCTCTGGTTCCTTTTGAGCCACCAACTTGTCAGTACTCAAATTTCCCATCTCATGGAGTTTCTAAGTTCAGGGATTGCATTTTTCAATTGATGATTTTCTACCCGGCTGTATTTTGTAATGTCTTGTTCCTTTAATGTAGCTTCGCTATCCCTTTAACTATAGTCAGCACAGTTTATATTCTGCACCTGGCATCTCCAACCCACTCCTGTTTTATGGGTCTGATTCTGTGGTCCCCTCTCCTTCAGAGTTTCTGATGGCTTAATTACTGAGCCTATGTTCCTTGGAATTTTACTTCTAGAAAATGTTTCTGACCTGAGCTTGATGTTTATTCCTCAAAGTTTAATTTGCATTTTGTCTTACTGTTTATGTTTCTGTCCAATTCAGATTACTGGGAATGTCACCTGGAAGATTTGCCAGTGGACATGGTGTACTACTAAATAACTGTGAATTCCAGCCTTAAATAAACCATACTGATTAAGGGTGTTTTTCTTTGTTTGGAGTGTTTGTTGTTTTGTTGTATGTTTGCTTGCCCACTTGTTTGTTTGTGAGGAGGGACCTCATTATGTAACAAAGATAAGCCTCACAAAGGTATGCCTTCATCTGCTTCCTGAGTGCTGGGATTAAAGGGGATACTTAAAACCCATGATCAGGAACAGTCAGGAGAGACATTTGATTGCCTTTTTGTCTGTTTCAACCAGAAACTGATTACCACATGCAAATATGTCTAATCCTGCACTGTGGAGCAACACTTTAGTCCACCAAGTAAGTTGGCTCTGAAAATTGCTGACTTGTAGAGAGGTCTTGGATTTTACAAAACATTTATTATGCTTATGCCATGATGAGACCTAGACTTTCTCATCTACCTGACATAAAGCACAGTCTATTCCATTTGTATCAGGGTATGTGGTGTCTTTATGTCTGAGTGGAGATCCTCCTTATTATAAAATTCAACAAGGAGTATGTTTTCATGATGTTTCAGAAGAGTAATCAGCAAGAATTATTGCATTCTAACTTCTGCTTCATCTATGGTTAAAATGTATGAGCTAATTTTAAAGAAATAAGAAAATGGTTGGAGAAATATCATATGAAATAATTAGAAGAAAGCGAGGCACATATCTGAAACTGCAGCTTTTGAGAGGCTGGGGTAGGAGTAATCTAAGTTCTTGGACTAAGTAGTGAAAACCTGTTTTTCACAACCAAAAATAAATAAATAAATAAAGAGGAAGGAAGGAAGGAAGGGGCAGGGATGGGGTCTAAATGGCTTGTTATCATCAACACACATGAACTTATTTTGAAAACACAATTGGAACATTTAACAGAGATACTTAAGCAACTTTGTGTCTTTAAGATTACTTTGGGGGAAAAGAGAGCTAGCTCAGTACTTAAAAGCACTTGCTGTCCTTTCAGGGAACTGAATTTGGCTCTTAGAACCCAGTGTGTTTAATCATATCCCTTACCTTCCCCTCAACTTCTCCCAGGTGCAGTATCCTCTCCTAGGTGGTCAACTTTGTATCCCTTTTCTATATCAGGTACAGTTTCTGCTTCCCTTACATACTTGCGTGTGTGGCCTTACTGGAGCTTGGTTGATCCACGAGGGGCCAGACCCTTAAGAAAAAACTTAGTTCCCTTTCTCCAGCATCTGTCAGTTTCCAGGAGTTGGACTTCATTCCCATCTCCCACAGGTCTTGTACATACTATTACAACCACTGTAATTCATGTCTGCCACTGCACTGGTTTGTGCAGTAAAGGCTTTCCTAGCAGTCTTCAAGTAACCCTGAATCTCACAGTCCTTGTGCCCTTTCTTCTGCAATCATCCCCGAGCCATCGGAGGTGATGTAAGGCTGAACATTCCACAGTCTGCTATCCTGTGAACCAGTCAGGGTCTCTGTGATAATCACAATCAATTGAAAAAATAAGTTTCTCTGATGGTGCTTGAGAGGTGTATTCATCTATGGGTAGAAGAATAAGATAATTGGAATCTGTTTAATACATGGTGTTCATTTAGTTGCATTATAGTAGGCTCTCCCCTATGTCACATGCCATAGCTAGCCACAAGATCTTGGCTCCAATAACAGCATGAAGAATGAGTTTCAACTTGCAAAGTGGGCCTTATATCCCTAAGAAAGTGTCTGGTTAGTCCCATGATGTTTATGCCACCATTGCACCCATCATTAGTGCAGCCATCAGCTAGTTAAGGCTGATGACTATGTTTTTTCCCCTAGTAACACTCACAACATCTTCCAGCACTATGAAAGCTAGCAATTGGGGATGACGTTTTCAGGCCAGTATCTGCTTAGTGTCTCTATGCTATATCACAATTATCCAGGGTCTTTAAAAGTGGGGTCTTACTGCCAAATCATATATGGTATGCTATTCATTGGATTAACGTTTCCCTTCATGAATACCCACTTTATTGGAAAAAGACAACATTAGATAACTTATCTGTTGCCAGTTTGTTTGCAAATAATAAATTCTTTCTTTGAAATTATGTTAATATCTGACTTAGTATACCTTCTACATAGTCTTCTTCCAGCACCAATGTTCCATAATAAAATATCATGTACAAATTACCCAAGCTAAAGTATATATAAAAGGACTATGGGGCCACTAAGATCACTCAGTAAGTAATTTTCAAGTTTGATGACCTGACTTTCATCCCTGGGACTTTACATGGTATAAAGAGAGAATGGAATCCTATAAGTTGTCCCCTGAAGTATACACACACTCACAATCACAGGCACACACACACACACATACACACACACGTGTGTGTGCATAGACACATGCACATAATTAGTCAGCACATTGACAAATGTAATTTGAAGGTATTGTGATGAGACAGTAAAAACTATAGTCAAAACCAAATAGTCACCAAGTCTTTAGAATTTTGTAACTATTTTCATATATCCTGAATTTTCATCTTTTCATTTTTAGTTTCACATGTTTTGAGTAAATGGATATATACAATTGTGATCAATTGTAATTATATGTTTTATTGGTTAGCAGACACTAAATGACCTGTAAGGATCTTTGAAACTAATTTTCACTAAATAAGGCAGGCTGAAGAACAAGCTTTCCTAAACTTTTCACCTGCTTTGTCCTGGCCTTCCTGACACCGTTGCTGTGCCAACTGCATTTTTCATCAGGTATTGGATCAAGATAGAGCTGGTAATCATAATTCAAACATACATAGTTCATTTGTGCTTTTCTCATCATAAAAAGTTATTTGGATAATACTTCCTTTAAACAGCTTCTCACTTGATGATATAATCTTAAAATTTCTCCAAAGACACAAAGTATATTCAGGTTTTAATTATAGAATAAAACATGGCTATACTGTATAAAGCATAATTTTCAGACCTTAAAATGTACAATTTTTGATAATATTTTCATTTAAATTTGCAACAAGCTTATTTTACATGTCAATTCCAGTTCCCTCTCCCTCCCCTCCCCTTTCCTTGTTCCCCTCCCAACCCCATCCCATCCTCTTTCTGCTACCCAGGGAGGGTGAGGCCTTCCATGCAAGATCCTCAAAGTCTGTCATATCATTTGGAAAAGGGCCTAGGCCCTCCCCCATGTGTCTAGGCTGAGAGAGTATCCTTCCATGTGGAATGGGCTCCCAAAGTCCATTTTATACTAGGGATAAATACTGCTCCACTACCAGAAGCCCCATACACTGCCCAGTCCTCCTGACACCCACATTCAAGGGGTCTGGGTAGGTTCTATGCTGGTTTCCTAGACTGGAGTTCATGAGCTCCCCCTTGTTCAGATGGGCAGTTTCTGTGGATTTCTCCAGCCTGGTTTTGTCCCCATTTTCTTATCACTCCTCCCTGTCTGCAACTGGATTCCAGGAGTTTGGCTCAGTATTTAGCTGGGGGTGTCTGCTTCTGCTTCCATCAGCTACTAAATGAAGGCTCTAGGATGGCAAATAAGGTAGTTATCAATCTCATTATCAGGGAAGGTCATTTAAGGTAGCCTCTCCACTATTACTTAGATTGTTAGTTGGGGTCATCCTTGTAGATCCCTGGACATATCCCCAGTGAAAGGGTTTTCTTTATACCTATAATGGCTCTCTCTATTATGGTATCTCTATTCTTGCTCTCCTCTATTCTTTCCCTGACTCAATTTTCCTGCTACCTCATGCCCTCCTCTCCCCTCCTCTTCTCCCCTTCTCTTTTTCATTAAGTTTGTCAGTGTTGCAAAATATTGTTTAGTTGCACTATATTATTAGGACTTTGTACTTGAATACTCGATTAGGAAAAAGTTGGCATGAAAGATTATTTTCTCTTTAGTGCTATTTTGAGTTATAGTGAGCAATTTAATAAAATTGTATTGCTTATGCTTACTTAAAGCAATCATTACTTACTCTTCTTATAGTTTTAGGTCAGTGACCTATGAGTTTTGAACTTTTTGCTTACATGTATTTTTATATTAAGTATCTAGGGTAGATTAAATTTAATTCATAAACTTCAAGCACACAGTTTTGAATAGGTGAAAATTTGTCAATAGTAACATTCCAAGATATTTTAGATTGAAATGTTCTCAAACATATGACCTATTGTCTTGATACATTCATTTGTTACTTTTTGATTTTTAAATAATATATGTGGATCTATAAGAAAAGGAAATTGTCATAGAGAAATGTTGAATTCAAATATTTTACCAATGAATTTCTTAATGTTCTTTAATTTACAATAAAAATATGCCTTTAAATTACAGATGAATGGTTATGTCTCCTTTCCCTACTAAAAGTAAATTAGTTACTTTTGGTTACAAAAAAGCAGGATTTTCTGGGAAATAATAATGTTATATGAATAGCCCAACTTCATCCCTCATCTTCTTTTTGTAAATTTTCTTACCTTCTCATGCTCTCCCTAAAAAAAAAAAAATGGTAGTGTTCAAAGTACCTTTCAATACATGTCTCTATATGGGATAAAAACAAATCCAAGAAATAGCACTAAATTTGTAATACTAACCTGGCTGGGCTACAGTTGTTAACACTTTCTACTCTGTGGGAAAAGAGAAGTATAAGAATGGGAAATGGAAAGAAATCTTAGTCTAGCTGGGTATGGTCTTCTGTAGCTCTCCTCACTGCTCAGCAAATAATGAAGAAAACTGAGTAATATTTGGACAGTACTCAATTTACTCATAAAATTGAAATGCAAATAGTAAACAAAGTCTATTAACAGAATAGTGTTCCTGAGGATGAGTCAACCTCTTGTGGTAACTTACTAAAGTGTTGCACTGGGACACTTGGCATGCCGTAGGAACAATGATGGTTTGAACTAACTCTACCAGGAGATGCTCAAGATTCTACCAATAGGAAACAGAAACCAATGTTGGAGAAGGTGTACCTGACCCTTTGAACTGGTTGGTTTAGTGTTTATTTCACAATTAGGGTGACATGTTCATTAAATGGATGTTATGTGAAAACTATACCTTGATTTTCATTTGTATATGAAGATGTGTAGAAATATA